AAAAGCTTTGGAAGGATTTTTAACAGCAGTTTGCGAATCCTCAGCTATGCACACTAGTGATTTTACCAAGAACAAAACGAAACATTCAAATAACCCAGTTGATCGTAAATTACTGGACTTGAGTCCCTTGTTGCTCATTACCAATCAAATGGCTTTTGCTAGCTTATAATTTTAACAACAATCATTAGTTTATTATTGTCTAACTTTGAAAATAATTCTAAAACTGACACGGTGGGGAAAATTTGCAGCTCAGGTAAATGACCACAATTGTAAAACTTCCAGTTGAAGGTTGCGATCGGTAGAGTTCAGTTATATAGAAAGTGAAACAGATATTAACGATAACATTAGATTGTGATCACACTTGGAATCTGAAAATTGGAACTACTCGACTGCAACTCAGATGTCTGGAAAAAGGTTCTCATCACATGAACGAAATCCTCTATTCTTGGTGTTGTCGAAATAATCGCAAACTGATATAAGCCTGCTATCTAGTTCTTGATGTTTTTCCGTAGAGTTTCAACTGAAGGCAGTATGCTACAAAAAAGTCACCGTCGTGTACAAAGATAAGTAGAAGCTAAAATAACTAAGTACAAATGAAACAACAATTACTATTACAGTGTGTCAGTAGTATAAAGAAACTATTGAGAAATTCTATTCACTAGTAAAGTGTACAGATGATTTGATACCATTAAATAGTGTGTTTCATTATAACGGTTTATTTGCTTTAAAATAAATATCCTCAAACAAACAAAAATGACAAAAGAATAAACATTTAAGTTAACTAGTATGATTTAGATTAAAGTAACTTTTAAAATACTTTTTATAAACAGACAATATTTAAACTAATTAACAATTTCTGCTGTTGTTGTTGTTGTTTGTAGAAACAGGAAATACTGGTCCTACAAAATGTATACTGTACATGAAAAACAATCAATCTTTATTATTTGAAATAACAACAATGAAACTATCTCAAAAGTACATTGTTGATCATTTGTAAACATATATTATTATTTTTGTTACAATTTAGTTAATAACTTGTAGTTAGGAAACAATGGTTTGAATAACAAATCATAACTCACTGTTCTATGCTACATGTTTTATTTAATTCATTGAATAAAACATTTAACAACAATATAAGATTTATGTCTAAATAATATATGTAAACAACAGTTAGTTGTAAACTAAAAAAACTTTTCATTGAAGTCATGAATGAGTCAATGTTAGATCACCATTCGAAAGCTAGAGGCCGTTTCTTTCAATTATGGGGCTAATCAGCAGTGAGTATCCACGAATTCCACATATGGGAATCGAATCCTAGACCTTTGGTCTCACGCGCGAACGTTTAACCTCTAATCGACCGAACTAGCATCCAGCGGTGTTAATGTCTAATTTCAATCAATGCACACTATTGCGTGATAAAAATAATCGTTAGTTCTTAATGTACCATTATAATTGAATAAACTTTTCTCAGCTTCATATAAAGTATTTTGAATAGACTACATGCATATCTGATACACTACTTATCAAGTGTAACATAAGTCTGGTACTTTCCTTCGACCAGTCTGTTTGTGTTGAATTTCTTAATATAGATTATTTATCAATTTTGTTTTGTTAAGAGGTTGGAGGTAGTTGACAGGAAATCCTACAGTTATATTTTATGTTAGTTAGTAATCTACTGCTGGACGTATCAGCAATCTTGAGGGGACTAATGCTCACTATACGATAAAAATGTGTCTTAGCCAACTTCCTAAGCTTTAATATTACCAGTGAGCTATTCTGGCATGGACTAGTCTTTTGAACGACTAAGGAGTTTACAATGGATTAATCATCAAGCTGTGTCAAACATCGTTATTGAATGGTAATTAAATAATAGTTGCATTCTGTCGACTAAACATCGTGTTATTGGAAGCATTGAACTAGTGTCGATAATGCATTTCAATTGATAGAATCTGATCCGCACTAAAAGACCAAATAAACATGACATTAGTCATCAGTCACTGACAAATTAGTGATATTATTTAGCAAAAATATGATTCATTGATTTATTAGGGATATTTTCACAGGTAAAATACTTATATGGTTTTTCGCAATCGTTTGAATACATTCAATGAATTGAAATTCAAATAAATCACTTTAGAAATTAATTTCCAGACATTTTAACTCAAGGTTGTTTGATTGTCTAATTTTAACTAGTCATTATTATTATTATTCATTACATGGATAAATAATTAAAACAGGCGTAGAACTATTCACTGGTTAAACTATGTACACGCTAGCTTACACTTCTTATCCCTCAAGTTTATCAGTACCCATAAATTCTCGATAGGGGTTTTCGTAGTTCTCCAAATTTCCGCACCATACAGCGGAACTGTTTTGACGCTTAAATTTGGAATTTTTGAAGGTTGCTTTGAAGACTTTCCTTTGAATTGGAAGTAGACTAAAGTTTATGTAGTTCTTAATCTCGCTAAGATCTCCTTTCTTTGGTATTTCGATGAGGTGTTCTTTTTTCGAGTCTGTTGGTACTTATCTTTCCTCCCCAATCGTCTTGAAACTAAGATTGGGAATTTTCGAAATCACCTTTATGTTTCATTTTAGTGATTCATCTGGGTTCATGATCTCTTCAAAGTGTTCTACTTACCTGTTCCACAGCTATTGAATCACTGTGATTATTTTGCTTTCATTATTGTTGACTGTATGCTACATAATATCTTCCAGTAAACCTATGCTTTTTATCATACAGTTATTGAATATTTTCTACACTTGCAGAACTACTTGTCGTTTTCTAACTACCAGCTTGATTGCTCCTATTGACTTAATCTTTGCTTTTATGTATTCCTGATACTGTCTAGGATGTCGATAGAGATCCATTCTTCATGTTGATGTTTCTTATAACCTTGCACTTCCTAGTATGTTGAAGTAAGGACTTCTTAAATCTCTTTCCAATTGTTCTTCATACTGGCTTCGTCTTCTTTGAGCAGATCTGGTACGGTTTAGAATGTATATCTGATAGCTATGTTTATGCTAATGGATTTATCAGAATCTCGGATGAAGACTGTATTAAACTTTTTCAATTCTGTTGCTCCAGTTGTATAGAATTTACTTAGCTCCAGGTCCGTCTCGATCAACATCAGATGGAGATTTACAGTTGCATCATCTCCTTTCTTCGTTTCTATGTCTTTTAGTGTGCTCTTGAACTTCCCACTGGCGCAAGTGTGATCTATCTGAACCGGTTAAACACATGTGTTTGTGCTGGAATATGATGCCACCCATAACCACTTTTTTTGGAGTCACAGGCATTCGAATCTCCCAACTTTTTCTTTACTTTCTCCAAGTCCATGCCAATTCACGATACCTTCATATTCGGTGTTTCCCTTTTCAACATTGGCATTTAAGTGACCCATTAGATGGCCATCTTCAGACGGTCAACTTCAACCTACCATAGAACTGATATCATCCTCACTGTTATAGTTTTTGGGAGTATAGAACTGAATAAAACTCGTTGCAATCCCTTCTTTCCTTATCTTGAAGGATGCTTTGATGATTCTGGGTGGATGAGATTCCTATCTTATAAGTCGTTTTCGTGGTACTTTAGACAGAATCAGTGAAAACTCCTTTGTACGCAAGACATTCTCTTCTCGATAGTAGTAGTACAACGGCATCTTTCCCAAAGCTAATCCTTTCTGTTTTGCTTGTGTCTGATGGGTTTTACCTATTCCAAGCACCTCTAGATTGTGTTCTTCCACTTCCTCATCTACTCGAATGGTTCTCTCGGTATTTCATGGTATGAGGACATTCTATGTACAAACGATTGTTGTTACTCTGGTTGTAAGAATGAGTATAGGCCATGTAAATTTCGAAGAGTTTTGTATGTATAAATAGGCGTCATGACTCTTCTAAATTCAGGCGCCTTCAACTGCCATGAAAAAATTTAGATAGTTTAAATGATTTTTTTTCTAAAAAGTATTTATTTTGTAATGCCATTTTCCTATGGCTCGGTTGTCATTAAAATTACCATACTAACAAAAACACAGCAATTGAGTGGGACAAAAATAGTCTCTAGAATTAATTACGTATTTTATTTGAACAATATTTCTATTTTATATTCTTCTTTTTACTCTAAGGCCAAACTTCAAATGTAAACTGAATTAATTTATTTGTTCATTACTTTGTATTCAATTGTAAATGTTCTTCCAGTAACTAGTTATGATGGAAAGTTATTTTATATAACACTTAAAAAGGATACCGATTTATTGAATTTATATTGCCGTAAATATAACATCTACCTGTTTTCTGTAAAAGAAAATTGATCTCAAGATTACTTTAGATTCTTGAAAATTAATTATTACTGCAAGATATTCATGATATTATTAGGTTACCAACAGTTGGCATCATAGTTGAAGTGAATAACCATCCTAATATAATATCTGAGTTCTAGTTTGTAAATACTTATATGAATATTAGATGTGAGTGTGTGTGTGTGTGTGTTCACGGGTAGGAGTTATAGAGTTCATTCAGTTTGGCTTAGCAAATCGAATTTTAGCAAACAAATGTCATGTTTTATGTTTCTCTTATTATTATTTTTAAAAAAAAATCCTATTTCTTACAATCACTACCATTATCCTAATATTTCTGTTCCTCCGCTTGATACTTCAACTATACTACTAATAACAATAATCATCAAAACAAAACTACTACTACTTCTACTACTACTAATACTACTACTACCAAAACACATTTTACAGAGATCAAATAATATATTATCTGAAGTTTGGAAATTATTAGACTCATTATTTATAGTTGATATACTTTAGTGAGAACGGAAAACACAGAGAGATAGAGATAGACAGGAAGAGAAGAACATTAAAAACAACTCAATCCATTCAAATTAGTTCATATACATATAGATATGTACGTATATGTGCATATATATATATGTACACATTGATGTATAAATATATATATATATATATATATATATATATATATATATTAGTTTTGTCTAACTAATTCATTTCTTATTTACAATTAGTTTGCACAATTTAGCTTATAGAATAGTGAAAAGAAAAAACATAATTACAATACACTTCATATTAAATTAAAATTGGACAAGGATAATAACATCACTTTCGTCACAAGTTATATTAATTAAACAGTATGAAAATAGATAAATTCGATGGCAAAAAGATGGTTATTGGACGATTATTTTATTGTCTACTTGGTTCATTAGCTATCAGTAGTTTTGTAAATGCGGTAAGTTTATATTAATTAATATTTTCAATAATATTTTGAATTATTAATTCATTTTGTATAATAATTTATCGAAATTTATTATTTCTATTCGTTAGAAAGTAGCTAATTACATAAAACTTCACTTGTTATCTACAAGTGTGCAGCTCAATATCATGAAAGTTGTGATTGTCGAGAGTTGATTATAATATAGTCTGCATCATGCTAACCGCTAAATTAAGCGAGTGAAACTATATACTCCACTTAAGAGTATCTCTTATGGGGATTCCAGACATTTTTTTAAAGATTGACGAACTAGATAAATTCTTGTATACTTTTAGCATAAGTGAAGGTAATCAGTGATTTTAACTATGAATAATATGATCGGATCTCGTTAAACTGAGTGAAGATGAATATACGGAACAATGAATTAAGATTATGTTCGTATGGATAGTGTTTACATCCCAAATGTAATGACCTTTACAGACCGTCAGAGTTGTGTACGACGATTGTCGAGAAGTAATAAAATGAGACTTAATAGCCTGTTCAAGACTCGAACGATTTCAGTACTTCTGTGGCGTGAGCTACTTATAAGTAGTATATGACGTGAGTGTTAACGTAATGTCTGGCAGCAGAAGATTGGGGAAGATCGAGAAAGGAACAGTTAGAACACAATGGAATTTGTATGAAACTCATGAATAGTGACAATGGATTGATGTTTGGCAACAGGAACAGTCCAGTTCGATATAATGAACTGATATTTTGCAAATTAACGATTTACGATATGGTTTTCCGATTTTACTGAGTAACTCTGTAATTTTCGTTAAACACAACTCGATTGCCCCACCTGTGTTCTCGTTCACTACACTTCGACTGATGGTGTCAGTCAGCAGTGATACATATCAAACTGCCCAAGTGTTTATAAAATTAACTAGCTTAGTAAAAAAAACATATCTACCTCAATAAAAATGTTGTATATGCACTAAAAATTATTATTTGTTCAAATTAGTTTACGTCAGCGATACGGAAGGTGATTTCCTCATTAAATCAAACAAATGGAATTTTTTTATGAATATGCGTTTGGTTAAAGTAAATTTGTTTTATTTCTCTACAACGTGTATCATTTAAATTGCTTTTGAATTTTTATGCCTGTTGGATTCAGTGCTTTTAAAGTGAGTATTGTTAATTACGAAAAACACGTGATTAAAGAAAATGCTCAATTTAGATCTAACATTTTTGATAATTTAACAGTATCCCCTCTATATTGTGTGTAATTAACATTTCAATAGAGTTCCTAACTTTAATTTTGACAGATAAATTGTAACATATCTTTAGAGAATAAAATATCTTTTTTAAAATCTTTAAAAAAAAACAACTATTTATTGATGTTTATTCATGTATATCAATCGAAGATACGAATAAAATATGAGAATATTGATAAATATATATTCATTTGTTGCAACGTCACTGAAAACAATTAAGAAAAGAGTTACATACTTGTCTTTGTGTTTGTCGAAACTTATCAACGAAATATAGTAAGTCACTAAGGTTAATTCACTTTTCTACAAGTCCCAAACATGTTTCCATTATATATTGTAATTAATGAGATATTAGTATTGGGTTAGTTAATTATTTTCAATTACTTATATTATTCATATGTGAATGGCATATAAAAACGAAATTAGTTTCATATCTGATGATAAGCGCAACAAATCATTATGTACTGTTATTCGTCTTAAAATATTTTCAAATGACAGATCTTTCAACGTAAAGATGGCGTGTGTCTATAATTGCGAGAAATTCATTATATTCTATTCACTTGACATAACTTTATAGATATCAATAATAGTCCTTCATTTGCCCTAAGTCAGATTCGGATATTTTCATCAAAGACAATATTTACTTTTAAGTCTACAAATTCCATTCAGTGAATACGATATCCATTTTCACATATAAAATACTTTTAGAACGAAGTGAAAAAATTCTAACCACAAAACATGATTGAATATAGATCATCAGTAGTAAACTTTTGTCCCAAGAAGTTTTCAACTGTTAAGTGAATGTGTTAATTATTTTTTTAATGAAAATTTTTACTATTCATACAGTCTAATAATTTGTTTGGTTCTGTTTACTTGTTTACAAGTAAAAGAAAATAAGTCATTAGTTAGAATTAGGCAAACAAATAGAGAATTATTGTTGCTGAACAACAAACAACAAGCGGAATAACAATGTGCTCTCTTATGTACTTGATATAAATCATGCATAAATCTATTCTGAATTGACAAAAATAATAATAATAATAACATATAAACAACTAGCCATAATTATTATCTTCGACACAACAGTAAGCAGAATTTTTATTGTGACATACATTTACCTATTACATGTTTTATAGTATTTGTTAAATTGCCAACAAAGTAAGTTTCGTGATACTACTATGTATCTACCAAATTTTATCTGAATTATTTTGATCAGAGTTTATCTTTCACTCAATTTTTGAAAGGCTATAATTGTAAGTTTAGTTATTGAATGAAAAATAATTCTACTATACGTTGAATATTTTTATTTCCCCTAAAGAAAACCTTATTCCAATTTATTTTGTAAACTCCTATTTGATTGCGATTACCATGTTTTTAGAAAACTAAAGATTAACAATGCTGAAATATCAGAAAAACTGAATCATCTTGAAAGTTAACAAGTTCCTTCATTGAGTTATAAAGTCTACTCATTTCGAATGCCCTACTATTAAAACACTAAGTCAATGAGAATCGATTTTATTTGAAAAACTTATTATATATAGTTATTTAAAAACAACTGTTGGTTATCAATATTATTCAAGCAAACACTTAAAACAACACTGACATATGACCTTAAAACGATTATGGTAATCATCTAATTGATAAAAATTTTTATGGGATCTATCTCTTGTTTCTTTTTCAATGGAAAAAGAAACGAAACTTCATTTCAATTAATTAGTTTGAATGAATACTCAAAATACTTGTAATGAATATGTTGTACAGCGAGTGTGTGATGAGTTTATCGTCGGATAAGAAAATGCCAAAATCTAACTGGTCATGATGGTATTAACTTTGTGTTAGGCTAGTATATTATTCTAAATAAAGTATAACACTGACTGTTAAGTATATCAAGTATTATATAAACGTATATATTGAATTTAAACAAATCACTATCTGATCTCGGTTGAAAAGTATTACAAACTAAAGTCATACGTCATTTGTTTGTGTTACATGTATCGAATATTGTGGTTTATCCACAATAATTGACTGCTATATTTTAAAACAAACAAATAGTATGGGTACATGGAATTGTTTTTACCATAGTGTAAGTTTATCATTCAGAGAGTTTCATTCTATATAGATAAGAACTTATAACTGTATAGTTCCTATCATAAAAAAGAACTACTTGACTTTTAAAATAGGAACTTGTTAATAATGTTTCATTATTTAATGTTGATCATGTTGATTAAACTGAAAAAAATGATCCACTACTTATTAACTTTATCGATCGTTTGTTATGAGTCATACCACATTATAGGATATACGGTGTAAACAAACCACGTATGTTAATTAATAATAGCCTGAAAAATTGATGCTTTGGTTTAAACCAGAGAGATTGTCTGTTTTCCTTCAGCTCTTTTGAATTATCTTATGAATACTGAACAGCTACATATTGAAACCTTCTACCTAGTTAATAGAATTTTAGATTGATTTTAATTGATTCATTTTGTAGCTAATAGATTACGTTTTTAATGTCACTGTGATTACAATGATGTAACCTATTTCAAAATATATGCTTTAAAAAGGAAACAGAAATTGTGACTAGGTAACCAAATGTGTTTCTTTGAAAGTTTATGAAAAATCTACTTCATTATGAATCAAATTACTGTAGACTAGTAACACTTATGAGATACTACACTCATTTTATCCACAAGTGAATTGATAGCTCTTCAAATAGTTCATCTATCAAATAACAAAATAAATATTTAAAACAATAAAGTTTACATGTCATTTAAACTGCTTAACTCATGAAATTGTCAAATTGTCAATAGGCAATCAAATTCAAATACTTGATTTTAATTTTATTCAATGGAACATATTCATTGTCTGTTCTATTATGAATTATCATTCAAATTAGTTGAATATTAATCATTTCAACTATTTATAATGCCAAAGATAATGTCAATCAGTTTTTAAACTGCCAACATTTCATTGATTATTGGGATGAAATAGATATTACGAATAATTAAACGATATAGAAATGCTTAAGTGAGTATTTAAGATAAAAAATCTAAATTGAAAAATAATTAGTTATGTTCATTAGTGTCCGAAGAAGAGTTTTACAATTCATCTGTTTCTATTCTCATCGCCTAATGATAAACCTATTTGTTTGCATATTTATGTGTTGTTGAATTGAATATGATCAGAATAAAATTTTCCCACTTCAATTTTAGCCATTTATATGATTTAGTACTACAGAGTGTGTTGGTTGATCAACATATTAATTATATCTTAATTTCGTTGTACATCATCATGATAATATCTAAAAGGTTTTATCAAGCACGCTGATTTGATTTGTCAGTATTATTAATTTTGTTTTTCTCAAAGAATTATATGTATATACCTAACAATTCATAAAGTATGTCTTTTTTTATTTTCGATTAGATACCTGTTCATGAATTATCTTATGAAAACCCCAAAACAAGTGGTCATATGTATGCAAAACATTACGCTGCGCATTATCCAAGAGATGGTAACTTAAGATTTAGAGAATCAGATTATTCAAGTTTAGATCCATTGGCATTCAAACGTACTACGTTTGATCCGATTTTATTTAAACGCAATTTTGATCCGATTTTATTCAAACGCAATTTTGATCCAATTTTGTTTAAACGTAATTTCGATCCAATTTTGTTTAAACGTTCATACTTTGATCCAATTATTTATAAACGATCATACTTTGATCCTATATTATTTAAACGTAATGAGGATAGTCAAGCTGATAAACGTGGATATTTTGATCCGATAATTTACTAACTAGATCGTTCAAAAAAAAATTACTTATGAAATTGAAACACAATGTAATCAATGAGAAATGTGTTAAAAAAAATATATAGATACCTCTGAAGATCATGTTTAAAAAGTTGTACTATTTTGTTTCACTGATTATTGTAATGTTTTAAAAAAGAAATGTACTTAATTAAGCCATTTTTTGAAATTCACGTTGAGTAGAGTTAATTGGACATATAAAAACCTTTTCCTTTCGTATTATTGGATTTTAATTTATATATAAAATAACTTCATCTAAAACGTATACTAGATATAATCACACTAAAGGTTATTTGATTATTTCATAGTTCGTAGTAAGCTAAATTGCAAATGTTGATCACTTGCTAATATTTTAATTGATATACTGAAAAATGATAGAATTTTAGATCAATAAGCTTTGGGATAACTCACAGAAATTAAAACAATCAGTATATTATTCAGATAATGTTTTCCAGTATAATTTATACTTTAAATTATCTTTCATCAACAAGGAACTGAACGTTTTACATTTTCCTAGTAGCTACACTAACTTTGCATCGTTGGCGATTAGTGTAACAAAGGTAGCCTACTTTGAGGACGTATAATTTAGCTATACTTTGATTATCCGTGATTTGTTAAGAATCATTACATTTTCTTTGGTCCAGTCAATTTATGTTTAATGGAGTTTAATTTTACAACTATTTGACATATTTCATTAGGTTTTCGTGAACTATTTCTCCAAACACTTGAATGGAAAGAATTTATTGCATACGTTCTTTCAGCTTCTAAAAAAAAATCGATTTAAGTTTGTTATAAATATTTAGGATTGAAACAAGACGACAAGTGATCATTTAGTCAGAATTATTTGAAATTTAACTCATTTAATCCAAATTACCGCTTGTTTACTTCCATAAAAGTTAATGTTATTTAACTTCTTTATTGTATTTAAAATGTTTAGCTGACAGTTCCAAGGTTAATCCGTATTAATCACATCACGTTCAAATCAATAAACGACCAATTCAGATAAAACAGTTTGAATATAGAACTTTCATTTACATTTTGTAATGGATTATAAAAAAGTGTTACGATAATTAATAAAATTATTAAGATGTAAAAGATACTGAATGATTGTGATATTTATTTCAAATAATATTTAAAAATGATAGAACAGTTTAATTTATAGCACTCAAACAATGTGTAAAGCATATTTATATTGAAACAGAATCTTTTATACATACATATACGTCAATTAATACCAAAATAAGATTCATGTCTCCTAAGCGGCAATTATAATAGTGGTCGGTATTCTGAGTGAACCTTTCAAGATTAGTGTATCTTCCTATTAAGACTGAGTCATCAAACATCCGTCTGGGAAACAACCAAGAAGTTTAGTGAGTTGAACAACAGGATAATATACACAAACACAACCTAAAGATTTTCAAAAAAGAATTCATGAAAGTGAATCTCACGTTTTCATTAAAACAGATAGATTCATCTAGGAATTACTTAAAATCATCTAATAATTCTTAGAATCTGAGGTAGTGTTTCCAATGTATACACCGCTCGGTAGCAGTCTGTGATAGATATTATATATGAATAACAACTTCATGATAACATGATCACTACACCTTAATACATTGATGATGTGTTGTTTGTCTGAACTTTGAGTTCCATACTTTCATTCGAGTAACCTCACCAGCTTCCTTTAAAGTTAGAGGATAAAACGGGAATTTATTTTGATTTTTTAAACACACTCACAAATACCTGTATCTTTTTTAATTTCTAATGTTTCAAACTAATAAAAAGATTTGTAGTTTAGATGTTGTAGTGTTATTTGAGATACGGTAAGAACCAACGATGTCATTCATGGTGACAATGAAAGATCTGGAATTAATTCATTCTACTAAAATGAAATAACATAATCAAATATTTTGATTGTTCAAACACTAAAATCTGAGCGTGTTGATCGACTGTGAAAAGTAATGTTTCACAAATGATTTTGATTGAATTCCTTGAGTTTTAAGTATAATCGTCAAAACGGGACTACTAATCATATTTGATTAAATTATATCCTACCACGGTATTTCATTTAGAAGTCGTCTGTTTCGATATAAGCAGATCATTATTTTGCTTCAAACATTATTTCTTCTAATAATTTAAGAAAATGGAAACATTCTTAAAAGAGTGTTATATGATGTTTTGCCTTTGTTTCAGTTCAAAGCCCAGAGAAGTAATCAGAATACTATTTAAAGCAATTAAGATAATCGAACTAAATTTGTGATATTGAAAAAATCGCGAGGAATTGTTTGAACAATTGTGTATAGGTTTGCAATGACTGTCTAACAATGATCGGTTTATGATTTTAACAAAATTCAACAACCACTTACCAAGAGTAGTATTTGAAATTAACACCATTGTGTGTAGTCAAGCTGGATATTACATGACTTGAGCAAAAAACTTTTATTGAAACCTCGCTCTTCACCCAAGAAACAACTAAGTAAGAACTTTCGACATGATGATCGAGTCCTTTATAGTGGAATTTCATTCCCTCAGCTGGATGATATGGTTGTAGATCTTTCATTGTTTTTCTGAACAATATTACCAGCACAAATTTCAAATAGAAATGGAGTATACGGATTGTACCACAGTAAAATCTGGGAATCGTTTGTTGATTCAGAAAGCCGCAACTATGTTTATGTTTACGTTTACTAATAATCATATCAACACTACGACTTCTGTGAAGTAAATGGGGTAGTGCTGATGTATACAAGTCCTTCAGGATAATTAATAAACAAAGAACACCAAATTTACTCCGGTTTGCTGAAAACCGAAAACGATTTTTAAGCCAGACTTATTCATCTTCCTTTGCCATACTGACCTTAGGCATAAAGGTTTGTTTCCTCATTCTTCTTATGACACTGATTGTTAAACTTCTTTTGCTATATGATTTTTACTTAACTTGCCAATTTTATTATATTTTATTTTAAAGATTACATCACCATGACATTAATGTTTTAATATTAAATTATTCTGTTCTTATGTGTTTAGTTTTCATCCTAGAATTTTCATATATTCATCCTATAAATATTGACATTATATAATATATAATTATATCCATAGTTGGAATCATGATCTGACCTAAGCTAGACCACCATCAGAAAACTATAAGAACTGGACGGCTGTTTCTACCCATTGCAGGACGCCTCAGCAGTGCTCATCCAAGACCTTCACAGATGGAAATTAAACCATGGACCAATAAACAACTCTTATAGTTCTTACATGTTTATTCTACTTTTCATTATTCATCACTGATGAGGACTTTTCCGATAAGTCAATATAAAGCAGGTTAAGTGATTGTCAATGATTAATACTTTTACGTTCAGGTTGTAACCAGATGATGAGTAACCGCCGAATTCATGTCATTCTGCTGTGTAAATTTGTTGAACTTCAGTCAGTTTTAAATTTCGCAGGAAGAATGCCATCAGTTTTGATAAGTTTAGTGCCAGTAAAGTACACTCCTAACTATTAAAAACATTACTTTAAGACGTAAATTTAATTCAATCAAGGTAAACTAATCTTCATTTTTTTTTATCAAATGGACAACATAATTTCATTTATAAATGTAAACATAACGAGTAAACTTTTGGAATGAGTAAAGGATTAATAATTGTGCATAAATTATTATAAAACTTTCAAATCGATTAACCTCATAAGTTTACAATTTAATCAATTCATGATTTGTAAATGATTAAAAACTAGGGATTTGTGAAAACAAAGTGTGATTTTGGCATATTTTTTTATTATAATTAATCAAAAGTTCATGATAAATCTGCTCCGTACGGATATCAGACAGAATCATTTTTCCTTCTTACTCTTGTCGTGAGAAAATTAGCTTAATATTTCAAATGATTAGGTAACTTAAGAATATCTCGACTGAATGTACATGGAATCATCAGTCAATCATTATTGTACCACTGTCTCATCCTAGTATAGGACTCGTCAGTAGTGCACATCCACGACTTCTGCTACTCTCATGGTCCGAACCCAGGACCTCCGGTCTTGCGCGCGAACGCCTAACCTCTGGACCTTTTGGTCGGCATTCAACAGCGTTAATGTTCCATGTTCCTTATGATCGTCTAACAATGTTGACTGATGATTTCAGTGTGTAAATACACTAATCTCCATAACTCTGACTGAAACAAAAAGATGAACCTAAGTGGTTTTACTACAGTTTTCCATATGTATTATTATGATTTGCGATCCATATCGACCAGCGTATTTCATTTTGCAAGGGCGATTAGTTTCAGCTTTGTATACTGTTGGCTAGCTAGCCAACTAAAAGCTTATCTACTATGTGGCCATGTAATTCAATTGAAAACTTATTATATAAATAGAAGGAACTATCTCTAAAAATAGCTTTCAGTCACAAGTGTAGACATCCTTAATCCGATGGTTTAAGGTAGCTTGTACAATTTATCAGAATCATCAATAATTAATTTTATCGTGATGTAAATTTTATCAGCTATCTATATCAGTTTTTGAAAAACTGTGGAAGTTATTGTAGTCAAAGATTGTGCTAAATCTAATAGAATAAGCTACATAATAAATAAATGATTCTTTTTCAAGATATCTACAAAAACATGGTCTGTTATGAAGACTTTAATATGAGAATTTATTAGTTTAAACAATTTCAATGTTAAAGCATGTTTATTTAGTAATTTTCTTCATTGTCAGTACTTACGCCTGTTAACCCCAAATGGACAATCATCATTCTCCGATCTACTCTGTTGTGGCCTTCCTTTTTACTTCTAACCAATTGTTGTTCATTCTTTTTATATCTTTTTCCAATTCCCTACTTAGTGTGTTCTTTGGTGTTCTCCATTTACCTTAGCTTCACGGATTTCAAGTGAGGGCTTGTCTTGTGACGCAGTTGAGAGCTTTCCGCAATTTATGTCCTATCCACTTCCATCGCTTATTCCTGATGACTCATCCCTCATTCCAGTCAGTTATTACTTGTTCTTCCACCCTAATCTTGCTAAAATATAATGGGAGTATCATTGCAGTTACTCCGATGTCTGCTCTGATTACCTCAGCTGGAACGATGTCTGGTCGGGCTCTTGATTTGTCTGACGGCCATACTGATCTTTCAGTTATTGGTATGTCTACACAAATTGGATGTCTTTGGTTGCTGCTTCGATGTTGAGTGGGTTCAATGGGGCTGGTTGATTTGAGAATGCTA